AGACCGAGGACCCTGGGACCGACTAAATCCTGGAACAGTCTAAAAGCTGTACCTAAAAAACTGGCGTCTGGTGCACTAAGCAGAACTTTATGTTTTCTCTGGACTTTGGTTAAAGCTTGTTTTGGCGACTGATGCGTCTCACCTTTTTCAGGCTGCGCTCCTTCTTGTGGCGTTTGTATCGGGTGGATTTGAAGGTCTCCATGCGGCTCCTCATGTTCCTCTGAAACACCTCCCGGTCCTGGCGCTCCTGCTCCCCCAGCGGCATGAAGTGACGACTGTAGTGGGACTGATACTGAACACAGAGGACACCAGCCTCAGCCTCACGCACTCAAACACATTTCATTTCCCAGTGAGACCTGCTCCTCCGTCCTGATCTTCTTTAAAGATCTCAATAATGACTTTAAAGACCCAGAAACATCTTGAGTGCCCTCCAACACAATCTCCACAACTTTAAGAAACGTTGGGGCTCCCTGAAGGAAAAAAACTTACACGTCTCCTGGGTTTGTACAGGTTTCCAGCGAGGACATGGTGCGTCTCCATGTCCTCCTCCACTTTGGCTCCAGGAATGTTATCGATGACCTGGAGGTCCAGACACACACCGCTGCCGTTCTCACGTCTGGAACAGACAAACATCAGCGAGTATTCAGGCCAGTCAGAACTGAAAAGCTCACAAAGAGTTTGATAATTCACTTATCAAAGGGCACAGGGTGAAATCTGCAGAATTTGCAGTCATGTGACTCACAGATAGTTTGTGACGTTGGTGACTTCGGGGAACGAGGCTCTGCTGGCCATCGAGGGCAGAGACAGTCTGGCTGAGGTCAGGACGTTCCCACCCTACACACATACACACACACACACTCTTCAAAACATGTCTTACTGCAGGTGCACTACTTGCAAATCACCTGGTGGTACAGTTTGGTGGTTCAAACGAAGCGGGGGCCTCCACAAAATCAAATGAAACCAACAGCGAAGCACCAAAACTTGCAGTTCCTTTAATGACCACCAGAGGCCCCAGCACTGAGTCAGTCATAAACAGTATTAAATCTGAGACCCTCCTCATTTGTTACAACTCACAGTTAATGTTATTGTAAACATTTTTGTGGTTTTCTGACAGGCAAAGGGACATTTCACCCTGAAGTCAAATTAACAGAGTTTTTTCTTGGAGCCACCTGAGGAATTCCAAGCATGTCCCACTGGGAGGAAGCTCCAGGGTAGACCCAGAGTGAATATTCCCACCTGTTGTGCTGTTGATCCATCAAACTAAAAGTCTGTTTCCAGAAATGCTGACCTGGTTTCTAAGAAGATAAAACCACAAAGTTTTCTGTAGGAAAAATGATAAAGTTACTTAATTTTTAAATGCTGCGTATGGAAGTTCAGAATCCTATTTTGGGATGGATTTTTAGGAGTGGAGATTTTTATGCTGTCCTAAGAACACATATGATGGATCGTCATATAATAAAAAGGCTGTCTCGATGTGAAGCAGCGTTCTGCTTCATGAAACTTTCCTGTTTTCCTCATAAATCTGGTGCAGGGGTTTTCCTCGTCTCGGTTGGTGGGCTGATAAATAAAACTCACCTCTGCTCTGACTCTAGTGTCGGCCTCACGGGGGGACTGAGCGTCAGCCTGGAGGCCCCTCACTGTGTTTCAGGCTGATTTATTAAAACGCTCAGCTTGTGCAGGTGCGGGTCAGACTGTTTGTGTTTCACTCTGCTGAACAGGAAAGTTCACAGTCGTGAAAGGAGATGCCAACAAGTCCAAAATCAGAGCCAGCTCAGTCTGAGGACACTGAGACAGAATTTAAAGGACCTTAAAACTGGAAAATTTTCAAAACCATAAAAGAGACGATTTCATGTCTTTTCACAGGCAATTTATCTCCAAAGGTGGGAAATTCTTTTGTCAGAGAGGTCAGTGTAGT